TGTTCACGACAGAAGGAAAAAATGTATGTCTTAGGGAATATAAGGTGAAAGATGAAAGCCAAATCTGGGTTTGTCAAATGAACCAAGATTATCAAATTGCTATGCGAAATAGTGATACTGGGCGTCTTCTGGGCCGGTGGCACAAGGACAAATTTCTCTGTTCCCAAGCCAATCACGGCGCTTGGGAGTGCCTTACTTTTAGGCGGCTTGACCTGGGCGGGTATTCCTTAATGGTGAACTCTGAGAAAGGTTATAAGATCTGCGCAATTCAACGTGTCAACTGCAGCAGTCCAGACTTACAGATTGGGAAGGATATCACCCAGTTCGGACTCCATCGACTCGGGCGTTCGGTGTTCAGAAGGTTTGAGTGGGTGGTTCCCGATCTTCTCGCACGGTCATCCGCGCCATACTACGATGGCGAGGATTCCGATCAGAGCATCAACGAAACCTCAATTGACTTCCTCCACAACTATGGGATAAAGAATATCATCAGTTTGAACTCTATAGAGATATCGTCGCGAGAGAAGGGCAGGCTTCGTGCTGCTGAAATCAAGTATTCCCACATCAAGACTCTGGAGTTTACCGCACCCTCTCAGGAGCAGTTTGACCAGATCTGGAATGCCTACGACAAAGCGGGGACTACAATCGTCTATTGTGGGTATGGAGATGGGAGGACCGGGATGGCTATCAGTGCGATTCAACTCTTCGAGGGTCGAATTCTGAGCGACCTTGATTACAGGGCGAATGGTGTGCAGTGCCCCAGCCAGATAGAGGCCTTAGATGCATTGGGCGAGAGAATCCATAGGTGAACATCCCTTCCAGACAGCATCTGTGATTACCTGCGCTGACCGTTGCTTTGAGTAGTGTTGAAACCCCAAGCGGCCCACTCAACACCTGCGAGATCCAACTTGAGCCCCCACCATACACTTCACCTGAAAAACTGAGCTCGTAGAGTGTGCAAAGAGGAAATTATGTAGGGATTGGGGGGTGACAGGAGGTGTGTATGGATGATGGATAGCGGTGTCATAATGTAGTAACAGGATGGAGTAGGAATTGTGGGCTTATTATACTATACACACCGTGTAAGAGGTGTATGTGGAAGCCTAGCGGAGGCGGTAAAGTCTGATGATTGACGGGAGAGCAAGTGGAAGAAGCATGGAGGTGACTGAAGGGAGACAGTTTAGCCATGAAGTTGATCAGGAATATTGTGATTCAAGATTGAGTACGCTACACTACCAATCAATCCACTTATACGCCCACCGGTATCGGTATATTGTACAGTACCATGGGGGGTCAAAAACTTCAGAACAAAGTTTCTAGGTACAGTACCTTTATATCCACCACAGATAGGAGTAATTTGCTATTGCTCAGCTGTTGTGAGCCGATTCAGAACTTCTTTTCTTGTGATGAGCAAGATCAGATCATGATCGAGCCTATCACCATTCTTTTCCCTGGCAACACCAAAGTTCCCTGTACTGTACAGGTAGCCTCCAATACTAGCTCTAAACACGCTGGCGGTGGTGCCTGGTAGTGATATAATGGTACTTGTACCATAAGGTGATATACAGGGTTGTTGTGCCCTGTTGCTGTTGAACCTTGCCCAGATATCCTTCATTACAATAGTTTACGGTCAAAAATTGGCTAATTACCATCCTTTACCTCGCAATTTTTTCGCGATACCCGGCCCACTCATAATAACAAAAATCTTAGATTGTGGCTCGAGCTCTCCCTGAAGTTTACGTTCAGAATGCTTTGGCGGCCAGGTGGAATGTGGTAACCATGTTAAGGTTCCAACATTACCTGTAAGATGGAGGCATGCCAGCCTCCCACACAGGTAATATACATCGGTGACTTTGCAAACCCGATTACCAAACTCGGCAGTCCCGCAATGAAGCTCACACCTGTACAAATTAAGAATCCGCACTTATGCAAGATGGCATCAATGGATGGGGGAGGGGGGAGCCTAGTATAGTGAAAGGGGAATATTTTCTAACAGGCCTTCGAGGGAGTGCTGGAAATTCCCTTAACACAGCACTTGACAGAACACCTTGCATCCGTATGTTTCGCTTTCGTTTCGGTATTGGTGACATAATCAGTATTTTTCAATGTCAAATCGTATGTAGAAAGCAAATTGTTGACGGGGAACACGTCGCGCATGGCGATTATAACCCCCACCCCGAGTACTGTCTGACACTTCTGCCGGGTCGGCATTCTTTTGTTGGAAATGGCAATAGTTAAATCTGATCATTTTGGATACTGTCAGACCCTCGGTACCCTGAGTGATAAAAACGGTCTCTCTATCATAGCGATCTTTGGTGAGTAGATTGACGAAGCTAAACTCTAAATAAAAGGCATGTCGATGGATGGAGATTTTCCGATGGACCTTGGCGATCTTCCCCGGCGGAGGCAATGTGAACGAATGAGAACAATCAAAATTGAAAACCTCAAGAGAGAAAATCAATTCACCATCCTCGCTTCTTATTCACTTTTTCTTTCTCCGTCCTCCTCTCTCATGACATGCCCCTGAACACCCTTAAATACAAGACGCCCCGCCCCCAGAACATCATGGGATTCATAATAAATAAACAGTCCAATATCCACGTCTACCATTACCAGTCTATTATCACCCCCCACCCCCCATAGTACCTGTTTAATGCTATCTCCCTTGACACTCGTTGCTCGTTCTGGCCCAAATACTTTGTTATACCTGATAAACTTCAATAATCATCATCGAGTTCACGAGATATCACTCGTTGAACCAACCTCCCTCGAGATGTTTCAATCCTCCCACACCAATTGTGCCCCCCCATTATACTATACTCTAATAGTTTCACAAAGGCTATTTCTCTTTGTCCCTCTTTTTAAGCTAATACGTGACTATTACCTAAGAGAGTTATTTTGTTTACAGAAGGTGGAGAAGTCTTATGTCTTGACTTTACCAGGTAGATTCACAACTCATTAGTTAGTATAGTATTATCTTATTCAAGAACGCAGCATAACATACACAAAAGAGTACTACCCTTTTCCAAATCAATAGGGGGTCCGAATTTTTCTAATTTCGTGTTTTCGGACCTATTGTGTGATCTTTAATTTCTATTTACTGCAGGAACGAGGGGATGATTGCAGTTGCAAGATTACCTCCCCTCCTGTGACTTGTCTTTATATTCTTTATCATAACTTCTTTTAAGTAGAATTGTTGAACTCACTCCTGCCAGAGGGGGTCTTTGTGCGTCGGGTGTGGGATATTCAGACCACCCGGAGTGTTTTAGTTTCTGACTGCAATACCCACGCCCCCTCTTACACTGCCCACCCACTTTGTCCCAAAACTAGATCCTCTTCCACCGTGAGACGTAGTATAGGACATATTTTTTTAGAAAGAAACAGCTAACCGGAGACAGGGCTGAAGCGGGGCGGCGACGAAAAAGCGATATCAAACGAAAAGGCGATGATCTATTCAACGACTCTCTCTGCTCACTCGCACTCCACGACAACTAACTAAAGTAGTTGACAGGAAAAGATGGGAGTATAAATAAACGACAAGGACGCGCTATCCTATCCTTCCTGCGATCACCACATATCTCTAGTACCCCCCCACACTCGTCTCTCTTTCCTCTGCGCGCTCTCTTGCTAAAAAAAATAACAAACGATAGACTCCACAAAGACTCTGTAATTGCCTTCCGTGCCCCCACTGACTTCCGCGCTCCCACTGCCTTCTACGCTCCCATGCTAACAAAAGAAATAAAGGAGCAAAGACCCCCGACGCTCTATAACCCCCGCTGCCGTTCACATCCTTCTCCATCGGAAGCGCTTTGCCAAAGCACACAACCAAAACGTCCGCCCCAACAAAGCGAATGCGCCAAGACAACAAACGAGTGGCGGGGGGGAACAAACAGGGGGGAACGGACAAGCAAACAGCTCCGGGAACGTACGGCGGATGGAAGGACGAGAAATAGACGGACGGATAGAGATGCCGATGGACAGATATCCCGACGGACAAGGGAACAAAGTCATGAACATGCCGAGAAGCATCCCTGATTTCCAATAATATGCCCAAGTTGACCCGAGATGCGTACGAAAGAAAGCTCACCCTGGGGGTGGGTAGGCCTGTGTCGAATCATGTCAAGTGGGAAATTACGTTCGTAGTCTACCCACCACGCCAGGGCCCCCATACTATAAGTCTATTATTACACATCCCCCCTCGCTCTATTGAATCATGTGGTGCAGAGCATAGGCTGTAAAGAGCTGCCACGACTGACACAATCGGCGGCGGCCTAAAGCCGCCATCATATATGAAAATATCACAGCAAGAACAAAAGCCTCTGTATCACCCTTTCAAAACGAAATATTATTTCAAGATATTGGGAGAATAAATTCCTAGATCTCTTAGAACTTGCCTTAGTCTGGTTGAAGCAAAGCCAAGAGGATTTATGTTCACTATACCCCCATCCTCAAAGAAACTACGAAGGCATAAAACGGTGAGAATGAGGTTACCGTAAATCAAGTGAAACTCGGGCTAGACCCGTGAGAGAGTGACGAACTAGCCGATTGATAAAGACAGTAGAAAAGGAGCACGAAGGATATATACATCTTCCTGAACAACTAACATCACTAGGAACCGGACAAAACTCCGGGGAGCATAGGGGACAAACCAGATTCAAAGAAATACAGGGGAAAGGGGAGCGCGTCAGGAGAACCAGCAAGTGAGGAACGAACGCGCGACCATCCCCGAAAGTCCGCAATTCTCGCGACGACCAAACCCGAAAAGACGCCCTACGCAGGAGGGTATCAAACAAGGAATAAAAAAGGTCAGATGAAGCCAAATAAGCGATATCTGAGACCCATGGCTGCGGATATGATAAAAGTAAACCCAATACCGACACTCCATACCAAACGTGAGGAGGCGGGAAGACAACACACCATACCCAAAAATGACCGCTGAAAGTTCTGAAAATTTTTTTTTCAAATCAATTCACCCTGCCCGCTGCCCAAACATAAATCCTTCATCTCGGTAATGACGATTCGCCCGTGGAACTCGATCCCCGGGCCCGGAGAAACATCGCGAGACAGTTAGCATTTTTGAGGGCCGTCCGATAGCGTGGCCCTAGAGCTTGTTCCCCCTCCGTAACAGCACGCCGATACATGGTCTCTGCTCCGCTGAATTTTCCCTGATCATACAGAACGGCGACTAGCTTGACGATGCACCGGAGGGTATACGGATGGCCTGGCCCAAGGACTCTCTCCCGCCCAGCCAGCACCCGCCAATACATCATCTCCGCTTCATAATACTTCCCCTGTTTGTACAATGCCCCAGCTAGGTTATATATACAGAGCAGCGTATCTCGGTGATCTAGTCCAAGCGTCTCCTCAGCACCCACAAATGCACGACGATACATAGCCTCTGCTTCGTCGTGCTTCCTCTGGTTACATAGTGCCACTCCAAGATTATTGACACTGAGTAAGGTATCTCGGTGAGCTAGTCCAAGCGCCCTCTCTCTGCCTGCCAGCGCACGTCGACACATAACTTCCGCTTCCTCATACCTTTTTAGGTCAAGCAGCATTTCCCCTAGCATATTTATGCTCTCGAGTGTGAATGGATGATTGGGCCCCAGTGCCCTCTCCATACTCCCCAACGCATGCTGATATGTAATCACCGCTTCTTCAAACTTCTTCTGATCAAGCAGCGCCACAGCTAGACCATGGAGGCTCAGTATGGTGTCCACATCATACGGCCCAAGTGCCTTTTCTCTGCCTACTTGTGCATATCGGAACATCATCTCCGCTTCGCCGCACTTTCTCTGATTATGTAGAGCCCGACCGAGGTTATCGGCACTTGTCAGGGTAGATCCATGGTCTGCTCCGAGAACTTTCTCTCTACCCGCCAATGCGCGTCGACAAACGGCTTCTGCTTGATCATACATTCTCAGATCCAGAAGCGTTTCGCCTAGCATATTCATGGTATCGAGGGTAACGGGATGATCGGGCCCCAGAGCCTTCTCCACAGCCTCCAAGGCATGTCGATACATGATCTCCTCTTCTGCGTACTTCTGATCAAGCAGAGTAACAGTTAGGTCATCAGCACCCAGTAGGACGTCTGCGTGTGGTGGCCCGAGTACCACATCTCTATCCGCCGGTACAACCTGACGCGCCATGTCTGTTGCCTCAACGTCTCTCTGTCCACTCAGCCCCCCACCTATGGCAGCGATACCCAGCGAGGGGCCAGGGTCACCTGGGGAGAATTCCACCTCTCTCCCTTCCACCACAGGCCGATTTGAAAGTTTGGTTCTGTGGCCCTTTCTCTTTTTCTGACGTAAGAGAGCCAAATTACTGACACTTAATAATGTATCCGGATGGTCTTTCCCAAGAGCCTTCTCTCTCCCCCCCAACGCATGTCGATACATAACCTCAGCTTCATCGTACTTTTTCCGGCGATGTAGTGTTTCGCCTAGATTATTGGCACTCTGTAAGGTATCCGGATGGTCTCTTCCAAGGGCTTTCTGTCTACCCGCCAATGCACGTCGATGCATAATCTCCGCTTCGGCGTACTTTTTCCGGCAATGCAGTATTTCGCCTATATTATTGACGCTCTCTAAGGTATCTGGGTTATCTCCCCCAAGACTCTTCTCCCTACTCCCCAATACGCGTCGATACATAGCCTCCGCTTCGCCATACTTCCCCTGTTGTCGCAGTGCCGCACCTAGATAGTTGGCGCTCAATAAGGTATCCGGATGGTCTCTCCCAAGAACCTTCTCTCTACCCGCCAATGCGCGTCGGTACATAATCTCTGCTTCAGCGCACTTCCCCTGCTGATGCAGCGCTCCTCCTAGACTATAGACACTCAATAAGGTATCCGGATGGTCTCTTCCAAGGGCTTCCTGTCTACCAGCCAACGCACGTCGATGCATAACCTCCGCTTCGTCGTACTTTCCCTGACGACATAGCGTCACACCTAGATTGTTGACACTCAATAAGGTGTTCCGATGATCTCTCCCAAGAGCCTTCTCTCTTCCTGCTAATGCACGTCGATGCATAATCTCCGCTTCGTCGAACTTTCCTTGGTAATGCATCGCCGCACCTAGATTATTGACACTCAATAACGTATTCGGATGGTCTTTCCCAAGAGCATTCTCGCTACCCGCCAAGGCGCGTCGATACATAATCTCCGCCTCGCTGTACCTTTCCCGGCAATGCAGTGTTTTCCCTAGATTATTGACGCTCTCTAAGGTATCCGGATGGTCTTTCCCAAGAACCTTCTCTTTACCCACCAATGTGCGTCGATACATAGCCTCCGCGTCGTCATACCTTCGCCGTTGATAGAACACCGCACCCAGATTCTGGACGCTCTCTAAGGTATCCGGATGGTCTCTGCCAAGAGCCTTCTCTCTACCCACCAATGCACGTTGATGCATCATCTCTGCTTCGCCGTACCTTCCCTGACGATACAGCGTCACACCTAGATCATTGACACTCCGCAAGGTATCCGGATGGTCTCTCCCAAGAGCCTTCTCTCTACCCGCCAGTACGCGTCGATCCGTAATCTCCGTTTCGTCGTACCCTTCCTGATCATTCAGCGCGACACCAGGCCCATTGGCACTCCGTAATGTATCCGGATGGTCCCTCCCAAGCATCTTCTTTCCCGCCGCCAATGCGCGCCGATACATATCTTCAGATTTGTTGTACACCCTCGGGGCTATTCGGTTGTGTGGATATTCAGGTCCTAGTTGCACCCACTTTCTATGATTGAACCGAACTCGTGGCTTGAGATGAACTCGTCGTAGCGGAAAACAATTTCCCCATCTATTACCTGTGCTGCTATTGGTTCCTATTGCTAAAGTGGAGTAGACCCTGGGCGCGATTGGAAGATATTATCGTCAAAGTTCCAGTCTAGCGCAAAGCGTTAGCCATCAGGGACTGCGGGTGAGACCCACTAGCCTTTGACTTCTGACTTCCCAGACCACCCTTATAGGGGCTACACTTACTCTATTCATATACCTAATCCACCTCTCGTCCTTTCTCCCCGCTTCCCCGTTCTTCCCCTCGCGCCTGCTTCCTTGCGTCCCCGAGAACAGACTTTCACCTGTTTATGAGGGCCTTACCAGGCTAGAGCCCATAAGCACCAAACGTCAGATGTCGGTGGGATCTTCGTTAATAGGGAGGATCAAACCTGCAGTGGGATATAGAAAATCAGAGATATTTCGTTCGAGTTCTCGTATGATGCGGAACCGAAAACGAAATCAGCCGCCCAAAACGTCAGGGTAAGGCTGAGGGTTGAGAGGGGGCGTGAGCCAACCAGGAGCCGATGCTCCTGTCCCCCCGAAGGAAACCTGTTTGGCAACCGACCTCCCCCGTCGAATGAGAATAACGGATACCGATAGGTATATAGATTGAAGGATACTATGTTCGCACGGCCGAATCAAAGTCGCGCAAGTAGGGTATTAATGGTATGACGAAAAACACAGGCGAGAAACGGGCTACTCGGCCCTCTAGCAGATATTGAAAAAAACACAAGACGTTACCAGAGGAGGGATTCCAACGACATTGCGCTCGGCCGGGTTACTTGTAGACTAACCTACGAGGAATGCTTGCAGCGGAAAGATCCTGCCCAGGGCATCCGGGTGACTTGAATCAGTTTGTGTAACACTCCAGTCTTCTGTTGGTAATATTCATCGGTGACTCCACAAACCCGTTCGCGAGGCTCTGTAGTCCCGCAATGAAACCCATTCCTAATTTACATGCACGAAGGATTCGCATGCATGCATGCATGCATGCAAGATGGTGCCAATGGATGGTAGACGAAGAAATCTGATATCCCATGGAATAACCCGATTAGCACAGCACAAGGTGCGAATTTCGAACCTCTCTAACTCCACCAAAATAAAATTTAGAAATTAGATAAAAACGGACAGAATACCTCTTACAGAGGTTTTTGACTGATGAACCGCCGCTGGTGGAGTTAGCATGCGTTATCTTCTGGATTGTCGCTTTTTTTTCCCTTTCGTCTTTCTTTCTCGGAGTAGAACACCGTGCTGTGAGAACCGGGATAATCGAGAATCTCTAGGATCAATCTAATTTTCATTCTTCTAATTCTACGACGTTGGAGTTGCCTCTCCTAGTAAGGTCTGTTATATTTTTCTTTTTATTTGTCTCGGCTGAGGGCTAAGGGAGAATCTTTTCGCTCTGCTTTCCCCCCCTAATCCAAAGGGGGAAATTCTGGACGTCCTACTTGTATGATTTCGCCCTTGTCAACTGTTCCAGTCATTAAGGTCTTCACTACGAAGCTCAAAATTCAAAAAAAACTAACCTAACCATAGATTCACGACCATTTGGCTGAAAAATAATCTACAAAGGAATTGTTTATTTACCCTTAAGCTGTGCAGCAATTCTACCATGTTATAGGTGCTGGAGTAGTGTGTTATGAGATGGCAAGCCTTTTACAGGTCCCAGGTTCTGAAACCCCTTTTACCATGTATACCAGTATTCGCTTATCTATCCCATACCTTTTCACGAGAAAAGAACCGCACATACAGGCCATTGTACTGTTGTATGGTGGACGTGATGGAATGAGAGATAACTTGTTTATTCTCAGGTGCGCCTGATTGCTAACTAAAAGGACTAACAAACATGTGCGCAACCTATGGTTTTACCCTCATCTCGCTCATTTGTTCTCAACAACATAGCTAGGGTGGTTGCCCGTACCCTACTACACTCAACATGTACAGTACCATGAAAAGCAAGCTCAATTTCAATTGGAGAAAAAATCAACACTTCACCCGGTTTGCGAGAACTCTAGTACTTACTTAATTTAGAACTAAGTTGGGGGGGTTGTTGGACAGTCATCAAAAACGACTCAATCTGCATGAGAATATGCATTTTTTACAGTTCATAGGACAAGGGAAATTGTTTCTGCGAGGCTTTCGAGATAGTACTGGCAATTATCGCTAGTATAACTTTAGTATGCACACCCGCCATCGCACCCCATGCCCCGCCCACACCCCCACGCCGGGAGCATCTTCCGCATCTTTCACGGGCAAATCAAATGTAGAAAACCCGCCGCTGATGTGGAACGGGGTTGTTGCGTATCGTGATTCTAACTGCTAACCCAGGTATCTATCTAGTGGCATCACCCCTGAAGCTTTGCGCTTTTCGCTAGGCCAAACGCTTTGTTATGTCGGATAAATTTCAACGATCCACAGAGAGGTCACTGGATGTCACTGGTTGACTGATTTTTTCCTGCATACAACGGACATTTCAATTTTCCTACACAAAATGTTCCCCCCCTTTCTGTTCTAACGGTTTTATAATAGCCAAAATATTTATTCTCTGTCCCTATTAGTTTCAAGATAATGGGTTAGTCTATCACCTAATAGAATTATATTTTTCACGGAAGTTGCTAGCCAAGTCTTAAAATTTTGACATAGGCCATCGACTACCTACATCACTTAGTTCTCCGGCTACAGAGGTCCCTCACCATAATGTAATCGAATAATTAAGTGCTACCCAAGAGATCTTGAATTGTTTCCCCAGGCATTCTCATGCAGCGAAGCGTGTTGAATCCCTAGATCCCAATGTGCAGGATGCCCAAGGTAGGGTTTTTCTTTGATGTCGTAGTGATGCTGTATGACAGCCAGGCGGCCCATACATAACGAGATTTTTTGATGGTGCACAATTTGGCATCGCAGTCTGCCGTGATGTAACATACACAGCAGCATGCTAGTCCTATCCTATCGACCATGTTAATCTTACCGGGGTGGACTCGTAACTCATTAGTTAGTATTATCTTATTCGAAATGTTGCGGGGTATTCATAGGATGGGCTAGGTGTATATTTTATTTCAAGTCCCACTCCCTCTTTACATTATCATATTATAGCTCATTTCAAGCGGGATCGTTGACCTATGCTAGAAGGGAGATCCGCGCTTCAAGTGTGGATAACAATGAAGGAACCGGGTAGCACTCGATTCCTATCTAAAACATTCACATCGGCTCTTGTCCACCTAGTGAACATCTCCCGAATTGCTAGATTCCCTTCCACGGTGAGACCTAGTACAGGGCGTATATATGCACGGGTGAGAAGCGTTGGGTATTGGGGGAGGATCGCCCGACCACCGGTTCGCCTACCTCGGTTCATGACTGAGTGGGAGGATATGTGCGCAGTAAACCCATCCCGTCATATCATGAGACTACGATCGTATACCACTTTTCTCGAAAGATGGGGTGCAGAACACATACTACTAAAACCTCCGGCAATAGGTGCTTACTACTATTTAAAGATATTACCACATAACGTTATTAAATATTACGGCAGGAACAAAAGGTTTCAGGGTTGTATCGGGGCGTTGGGAGAATAAATTCCTAGATCCCCTGTGAAGCTACATACAATCTTATGGGAGCTGTACCAAGAGGATTTGCCTACACCATGAGTCCCCGCTCAGAAAAAACCGCAAAAAGATAAAGTGAGGAGAATAAGATCACCGCAGATCAAGGCCAACTCAGGCTAGTGATAAGAAAGCCATAGGCAAGACGGTTAATAGGGATACTAGAAAAAAAGAAGAGGAAATATGTGCATCTCTTTGAACTAACACTGTTTTCAACAACAAGGCTTACGGCTGCAATTTGGACACTGTTGACTCGAATTGAATGGCTAGACAAAAATGCAAAGATCGTATTTGAATATCACCGGAGAAATATTCTCACGAAGTAGGTAATGAAAGGAAAAGATTGATTTGGCCCAAATATAGGTAACGGAGGAAAGAGAGGCAGATTGGATAATGGACGAAAACAACTAACAAAGGGAAAACAGGTTGCCTTTTATCCTTCTCTATATCATCCTGATCCACTTCCACATACCTCTAGCGTATGCCGTGTTCTTCATCATGCTCAATCCCACTGCCGCCCATTGTGCTACTTCAGCGGAGGATGAGAGGATTCGACCGAGGGTACATTTTGACCGAGGATAAGATTTGGAGTATGACCGAGGATATTCGGTATTTCCACATGATAGGAGTAAGGCCTTCAAATGGAGTTGTCGCAGGTGTTGTCACAGGTGTTGTTTGATGTGTAGGACTAACCCGTAGTCAAACAGAGGGGCGTGGGAGTAGTTGATATAGGTCCAAAAGGGTTAGGGTTGTTGAGTCTTTGCCGTAAGGGAAATATGGTATGCGGTGAGCAGCCAAGAAAGATCTCCGTCCAACATACTGGAGACCGAAAGAAATTCTTTCAAGTATAAAGAATGAACCAAATTCAAGGAAACTCGGAAAACGGCAGGAAGTCAGAAGATCCACCAAGAAAGCAAGAGGATGGTTCACCATCCCTCAAAAATCCACAACTCTCTTGCCAACCAAGCGCCGAGCCCGATGTATTATACAGTACTCTGCACCGCGGTTGAAAACTAAATAGAAACAATAAGAATTAATGAAGCCAAATGCTCTACACTCTGGGCATATTAGCCGCGGGTGTAAAGAAAGGAAAGCTAACACAGATATGATACCATAGCCTGAGGGTGAGGGGCGCGAGAACAGGCCCCTTCAACCAACAGTGGCGGCTGGGGTTCTGGGGAAAAGCGGGAAGAGCAGTCTCACCGTGCCGCAGCGCAGTGACAAATCTGCCATCATGATAATAACACCGTATCCGGAGAACTCGATTCCCGGGCCTGGAGAAACACTGCCAGGCGATTGGAGATCTTTAGAATCGCCCGATAATCTGGCCCTAGAGTCTTCTCTCCCTCCGTGACGACACGTCGATATATAATCTCCGCTGCACTGTATTTTTTCTGAGTATGCAGTATCGCAACCAGTTTAATGAGGTTCCGAAGGGTGTGTGGATGTCCCGGCCCAAGAGTCCTCTCCCACCCTGCGAGTGCACGCCAATACATCATCTCGGCTTCGTGATACTCCCTCTGTTTGTGCAATGCCCCAGCTAGGTTATAGATGCATAGAAGGGTATCCCGATGATCTAGTCCAAGCGTCTCCTCAGCACCCACAAATGCACGTCGATACATAACCTCCGCCTCATAGTACTTTCCCTGATTAGACAGTGCCACCCCGAGATTATTGACACAGAGTAAGGTATCTCGATGAAGCAGCCCAAGTGCCCTCTCTCTGCCTGACCGTGCACGTCGGCACATAGCCTCCGCTTCCTCATACTTTCTCAGATCAAGCAGCGTTTCGCCAAGCATATTTATGCTCTCGAGTGCAAAGGGGTGATCGGGCCCCAGAGACTTCTCCATACCCTCCAAAGCATGTCGATACATAATCTCCGCATCTGCGTATTTCTTCTGATCAAGCAGAGCTGCAATTAGGCCACCGACACTCAGTAGAACATCTGGGCGAGGTAGCTCGAGCACCATATCTCTACCCGCCAGTGTAACCTGATGTTTCGTATCTGCTTCCGATTGCTTTTTAAGGCTCTCCAGCATCCCGCCTGTTGTCGCAAAGCACGGTGGAGCACCCGGATCACCTGGCAAAAACGTCATCTCACTCACCCCCTCTCCATGTAGATGCGTAATTTCTGCTTCATCGCTCTTTCTCTGATTCGGTAGCAACAGGGCCAAATCATTGACACTTGATAAGGTATCCGGATGGTCTTCCCCAGGAGCCTTCTCTCTATGCGCCAATGCACGCCGATGTAAAAATCTCCGCTTCATCGTACTTTTCCTGGAAACGCAGTGCTTTGCCTAGATCATTGACACTCCGTAAGGTATCCAAATGGTCTCTCCCAAGAGCCCTTTCTCTACCCGCCAATGCACGTCGATGCATAGCCACCGCTTCCTCGAACCTTTCCCGAAAATGCAGTGTTTTGCCTAGATTATTGACACTCCGTAAGGTGTCTAGATGGTCTCTCCCAAGAGCCTTCTCTCTACCCGCCAACGCACGTCGATGAAAAGCCTCCGCTTTATCGTACTTTTACTGGCAATGCAGATTTTTGCCAAGATCACTGACACTTCGTAAGGTATCCAGATGGTCTCTCCCAAGAACCTTCTCTCTACCCGCCAATGCACGCCGCTGTAAAATCTCCGCTTCATCGTACTTTTCCTGGCAATGAGGTGTTTTTCCCAGATCATTGACACTCTGTAAGGTATCCAGATGGTCTCTCCCAAGAGCGTTATCTCTACCTTCCAATGCACGTCGATCCGTAATCTCTATTTCGTTGTACCCTTCCTGATCACTCAGCGCCACGCCTGGTCCATTGACACTCTGTAACGTATCCGGATGGTCCCTCCCAAGGACCTTCTTTCCAGCCGCCAATCCACGCCGACACATATCTTCTAATTTGTTGTACACTCCCAGGGCTATTTGGATGTGTGGAAGTTCAGCTCCTAGCCCCTCTCTATTGCTATGTTGAACAGAACTCCGAGCATGAGATAAACTCGTTCTAGCGGAGGTCAATTTCGCCGTCTATTTTTTGGGTCGCGGTTGATTCGTATCGCTAACGCACAGTACCGGTAGACCTTGGACACTATTGGAAGATTTCGTCAAAGCTCTAATCTAAGGCAAATTGTTAGCCCTCCAGGACTGCGCCCGGGACCACCAGCCTCTAACCTCAGACCACCCCGATCACCGCCGTAAGGGCTACACTTGCTCGGTTCAAACACTCAATCTACCTCTCTTCTTGTTCTTCTTGCTTTCTCGACTTTTTCCTCTAGGCAGCTCCCTTTAGTTCCTGCCGATAGATTTTCACTTAACAGGCAGGTCTGATCGTGCTAAGTCCACCAGCAGCAAATGTCAGATGTGGGTGGAGCCTGCATTAATACAGAGAGGATCAAACCTGTGATATGATAAATAAAATATTTAAGATATTTTGCATAATATTATAGCAGCTAGTGTTGGAGTTCTCGTATGATACGCAGCTCAACGAACGCAAAATCTGCCGCACTCAGCACGTCAGGGTAAGGCTGAGAGTTGAGATGGGTATGAACCCATCCAAGCCAAAATGGAGGATAAGTTATACTCCGCCTGCCCCCCCGACAGAGCAACTTGTTTGGCAACCGACCTCCCCCACCGAACAAGACCTATATATAACTCGAAGAATACTTGTTTGCGCAAGTAGAGTGGCACACACCACAAGCCCCGGTAGAAACTGCAATAGCCATGCTCTGCGCATTCTAGTCGAGAATCTCTGGCTATAGAGAAGGGGCGCAAAGACACAGCAAAAAACGGGCTGCTTGGCCCTCTGGCAGAGATAAAAAAGGCAAGAGCTTACCTGAGGAAGGACTCCAAGGGCATTGCTCTCAGTTCAGTTAACCTAGGCTATAGCATGAGGGACACCTAGAACCGGAGTTGGCTGACATTAAGAAACTGCAGTCTTGGTATCTGGATAACTTAAAATAGGTTGTGTGACACTACCATCTTGTATAGATACTGGTATTGTAAAATTCGACTGTGACTTCTCAAACTCGTTCACGAAACCATGCAGTCCCGTGATGAAGCTCACACCTGTATATATCAAGGATTCTAATATAGGCAAAATGGCCCCAATTGGTTGTAGCCGAGGAAATCTAGTACTGTACAAGATAAGGGGAATCATTTCTATGAGGGTCTTAAGGGAGTATAATTACAGTACTTGTAATTACCCCTAGTGTAGAATGCATACTTGGCAGAGCAGCCCCACGTTTTACTTTTTTCCTCCGTATTGGTAGCATTTTCTGTATTTTCGGTCGAATCAATGTTCTAGTGCAAGTAGAAATCCCGCTGTTGACGCGGAAAGGTCAACATACCGCGATTCCAACCGCTAAATTAACCACTGATGGCATCCCCCCTGAAACACGGTATCATACTTCTTACCCGGCCAAACTCCCCACTATGTCTAATAAGCCCCAATAATCCGCTGAGAAGTCACCGGGTATCACTCGTTGACTGGTTTTTCTCTGAACCCACCATGGATGTTTCAATTCTCCACACAGAATGTGCCCCCTTCACGCTCCAATAGTTTCACGATAGGGAAAGACTCTTACTTTTTATTCCTATCGTTTTGGAACTAATACATTAGTCTATCGCCTGGTAGAACCTTTTCCCTTAAAAAAGTTCTTGGAGAAGTTTTGAAGCTTTGACTTCGGCCACCGGGCACTGTGCCTTAATGATACTCCGACTATAGAGGTCCCCTACCATAATGTAATCGAACAATTAAATGCTACCCAAGAGAGCTTGTGTTGTTTCCACGGGTATTTTTATGTGACGCTAAGGGTGTTGGATCCTTGTGTCCCAACGTGCCGTGCAAGATGGCAATTTTAAATAGCGGCTACTTATAGACTGACAAAATCTCGAAAACGGCAACAACCTTTCTAACACCGGGACGACAAAAAGCGATGACGATCAAACATCTAAATAGTCACGACAATCAGAATTGCGCAATAGCCAACAACGAACACGAGTATCGCAGAACGGCTGAACAACAATGATGTTCAAACAACAAAACAGTTATGACGATCAGAGAGCAAAACGTAGTAACGGCGAATCCGGTGTATGGCAATCGTCCGTCAAAACGACGAACAAGGAACAGCGGGAACGTCTTCAAGCGAACGACAAACGGCAGAACTGTTAAGTGGTGAGAAATGGAGATACCAATAAAACTAAACTAAACAGCGCTTAGTAAGGCTGATAAAACTGCGATCGTCAATAAGTTACACGACTTTGGGAGAAGGGTGGGGAAGTTCTCTACTCGCAACGCTATCACTCGACAACTCGCTCTCTCGTAAGTTACGACGCAACTAACAAGACAAGTAAAGACAGGGGCATATAAGTAAGTCGTAATAAGGTATCCTCCTAACTTCCGCCAGACAAATCCACTGATATCCACGCTCGTCCATGCGAGTCCCCTGCCTTTCTGCACACTCCCATACTAACGAAAGAAAAACAAGTACCACAAAGACTTCCATGATTTATCACCTCTGAACAGTCCCCCTGGGCTCCCCCGCTCTGCTTCCGCCGGGAACACGTTTCCCTTCCACGATGCGCTTCTCCAGAGCGCATCGCCGAAACCTCCATCCGAACAAACTAAACAACAGAAAGAACAAACATCCCGCGCGCAAGAGCAGACACCGAGCATGTCTACCATAGAACAGCATGTCAAACATGTTCGGAGCCTGTCGGATTGATTTTGAGCATGTCCGGAGGGTTCTTAGGAGGCATGTCGAACATGTCGAGCAGTATTGATGGTTTTCAACACGGAAGACTCCCTCCGGTCGGGTGTCGAAGAGAGGATTTTCACATGATGCCATAACAACAATGCACCGTACGAGCGTAAGGGGTTGCATACACGGGAACCTTTTTATAGTGTCGCCCGGGCATCCACTGCACTCCACCGCGATGCAGCGTTCATATCATCATATCTATCCTGCCCCCCACCACAATCCTAGCGGGGCGGACTTGCAACTCGTTACATAGTATTTCCTTATTCAAATGTTGTACACCCACAAAAACTTACCACATCCTCGACATCTCGGTGGCCCTCGGCAAGCAGTGTGTAACTGGCAAAGCTCCATCATAAATGAGGGGAACCCGGCAAGAAGGAAGTTGCAGTTGCCCAACAGTTCAAACCCAATACAGGGACTAGAATTGCACGTAAAAAAGGTATCACACTTGCATATATGTATGGTTCCTGGACAAAAGTCATCGTCGGCGTGTCCAAATACCGGTCAAAACAAACCAAAATGACTAGAATTCGGGGTCATAGAAATTGCTATTTGTGCTGCAACCTCTTGACCGATTGAAAATAAAAGCACATCAGTGGATAACTGAAGACCTAGCGGTTCTGCTATTAATATTTTTATAATAAATTTGTTCTGTGCGCAGTTCTCATCAATTGGTGAGAATTCTCGGGCGCTCATTCACAAGATGCCTGTTTTGATAATTGCCAATTTCTCATTTCCACAGTTCAGATAATATTGCACCATACACTTCAAATTTTAAATACCAGTCTCATTGTAGAATGCCCAAAATCACTATTTTGTGAAGAATTTATGACTTACTAGACCATCTATAAAGTATTCGGATCATTGGCGCCAATATTCCACGTTTAGCTGCCGCGTGGCATACATTGGCTCTAAAGCATCCGAATACTCCAAGTTGCTGAGTAACTTATTTACTTTCGCCATAAGTTAGGTGTTGAGTTCCGGTGTTGTAAAAAACG